GGGGGGGCGTGGGGGGGGCGCAGCGGAGGGAGTAGCCTGCTGGCATTCTGGCCCGGGACCCGGGACGCTTTTTGCCATGCTAAAGGCACAGCAAAAGAGCAGAGCCTCCTCCTTCCCCTCGCCTCAAACTTAGCAAGACTCAGGACCCAGGAGCCACTGCAAAATGTAACAGTGGTTGTCATTAGCTCACAGTTATAGGGAGCGTTTATGTACAGGAGTCCTTACCTACATTCTTTACTCTTCTCGACTCTGAAGCAGACACTATTATTACTGAGCCTATCGTGCTGATGAGGAAATCGGTTCAGACAGGTGCCCAAGATAAAAACAGGCTAGGATTTAGATCCGATCTTCCAAAGGTCTTTACTAGCACATACTAAACCAAGCTGTGAACTTGCAGGGCTATGTGGGACTCTGGGGCATGGTGAAAGGAGACGCGGCATCAGGCTCTTTAGCTCTTGAGTCAAAAGGGGCTGTAGTTGATAAAGAAATATCTGTGTCTCCCTCTCCCTCCAGTGCATCTTTTCATACGTAGGCAGATATAAAGGCTCCTCAAAAAGTGAATGAAAAATGCATATTATGAAAAAATACACATAGACTTCAGTTTCTCTTTTTTAATACACCAAAATAAGCTCGTACTTTATGTTTCCATGAACCTTTTGCAGCCTCGTATTGCTATCATAGTTTTCTTTCCTCAGCTTCCTCCTTTGAAAATATACCATTAGGATCTGATTTTAGAAACCTAATAAACTCTAGGTGTAGTTGAGATTGATAATGGCTTAACTTGTTCATTTCAAAGGGTTTATTTTTTCATATAGAAATAAACAGCTTCATGAGGAAGTCACAGAATTGATGATGGAGTCTGAGGGAGGAGGTATGGAGAAGATCTCCCCATGTATATAAATCAGCTCAGTACACTTACCTTAAAATCATGGGTAGCTTGTACTTTGGAGTGAAATCAGACATGTAGGCCTCTTCTCCCTCATTCTTTCTTGGAGGAGACCCTCTGGATTTTGCCCCACCGCTTCAAACCCACAATTCTCACCTGTAAGAAATGGACTTACCTACCACCTCTCTCACCTCTCCATGACCTCGTAGGTAGTATTTCTTGACCAAATCCAATGATGTTTGCCCAGATACATACGTAAATAGCCATCAGCCTGTGACAAGAATTTGTTTCCTGATGAATCTTCCTCGATGTGACATCCATCTAACATAAACCCTCTTGTCCTCTCTTGGATTCAGATTATGCCCATCTTTCAAGACACAGCTCCAAATCTTCCCTGATGCCATGGACCACAGTGAGCTTTCCGTTCTCCAAATTCCTAGGGGCCAGTAGGCAAAGCCCGTACTACAAAGCGCCACCCCTCACTAGTCCTCAGTCATTTTGTGAATGTAAATAAGCAGGTGTGACAGTACTGTCTTTCCACTTGCAAGGTAACTATTCAGGGACAATTCCTTCTCTATTTCTAGTTTCCTCACTATTAACCATCATGTTACTGAGCTCGTCAGCCTCTAAGGAAACTTCCACTCTCTTAGTTACTATTCCAGGTTTCCCAGACACTGTCCTGTCTTGCTTTCTTCATACTGCTCTGTACTTTTGCCAGCATTTGTTATTTGACTTGCATTTTGGAACTTCAACACATCCTTTTCCTTCCCTTGGAAGACACTTGGCATGTTTCCCAACTCCTTATTGCTCCTTCTCCAGTGCTCGGTGGCAGGCGCCAAGACTCAGTGATTATTCAGTCGTCCATATAAACGATCAGCAATGCAAACTACAGGAACCTGCTGTTTACCAAGTTATCTCACACTAAGCTCACAAACCCGTGGTGGAAATTACTGACAGTCCTAGCACTCAGATGAGAAGCTTAAATCTCCAAGAGGTTAAGTAACTGCTCATATGAATGAAAGAACTAAGTGAAAGTACTCAGATTTAAAACCACATCTACTTGATTGAAAGTGATTGGTTTCCCAATAGGCGTCATGTTTACAGTTCCTATTATTTTTCTTCCCTTTCTTTTTCTTTTACTTTTGTCTCTATTTACCATTTATTTAATAATAATAAATTAACATTTGTCCTTAACTGTATATCTTCCAACAGGCAAAATAATGTACTTTTTTATAGCCTCGTATCTAGCATGGCGGCCTGTATATAGTCCCGCCTTACCCATGGTTTCGATTTTGTCACATGCAATAATTATGGTCCAATATTTTGAGTGAGAAAGAGAAAGATCACATTCACATAACTTTTATTATCATATATTATTATACTTGTTCAATTTTATTATTAGTTATTGTTTTTCATCTTTTTCTGAGCCTTACTATACATTAAACTTTCACATAGACATATATAATAGGCTCAGTACTACCCATGATTTCAGGCACCCACTGCAGATCTAAGAACATATCCCCTGGAGACAAGAAGGGGGCTACTATATGTAAGATGTTTAACAAATATTTAATGATTAGTTGATTCTAATAAGACCGTAAGCAAATATTTATGTTTCCTCTTTAAAGTTCTTTTTCCCCCAAAGAATTATTTCATTTAACTTTATTTATTTATTTATTTATTTTTATTTGACCAGAGAGAGACAGAGTGAGAGAGAGAGAGGGAAAATGAGAAAGCAAGCTACCAAGTCTGGGGCTTGCACTGCAGTCAAACTGCAGTTGGCCATGTGAGAGCCCGGTGCTCTTAACCACCACACCACCTGCCAGGCCCTATGTTTCTTCTTTAAAAGGGAGTTAAAACACCTCTGTCTGGTCATGTGGGAGTCCAGTGCTCTTAACCACCATACCACCTGCTGGGCCCTATGTTTTCTCTTTAAAAGGGAGTTAAAACACCTCTAGGTAGATGTATGGAAATTAAAGTTTGTTGTTTTTTTTTTATTTTATTTTATCATGACCTGGCTCTGGGCCAAAGACCCATGTCTATCAGAGAAGATACATATGTCTAAGAGAGTGAGTGATTTTGCAATAATGACAAAGACATTATTCCAAAGAGTGCCTTCAGATTCTCAATACATTACTAATTTTAATTCTCTTGAGACAGAAAACAAAAATTAGTTATTAAAGCAATGTGTTGATGACTGGCCAAAATTTGTGTAAATTAACATTTAAAGCTCAAAGGGAAGTAAAAACAAACAAACAAAAACCTGACAAGGTCATTTATTTTATTATGGTATGTTTGGGCTTCTGTACACAGAGCACTTATCCTGGATAGATTATACGAGCAAAATTATGTGACCATTTTTATGTGTAAGATTCTTTTAAAAACAAGCTAGGAATAACAATGCTGTCAAGAAATGAAAACTGTATTTGTGGTCATTTTGCTTTTTCTGATCTATAATATAATTTAGAAAT